GTATTTTGAATATATTTCTTTAAAGTATTTTGAGTTATTTTTTCTAATTATTATTTGTTTGGATTGTATCCGAGGATATCATAGACCTTACTATATATTTTTAAAATGTAAAAATAGGTATTAGGCCTATGAATACAATTTCTATTTTTGCGGTATAATAACTCGCTTTTAATTTTTGCACCCATCATCGCCATCATCATCATAATCATCATTGTCGTCAACTTCGCCAACATCATCACCATCAGTATGTCTGTGAATATCATCATAATCACACGATAGTCAATATCATCACCCTTTGTAGCACCATAATCACCTCCACCACCATCCTCACTTTGATTTTCATCATCACTACCATAGTCACTATCATCAACATTCATCTCATAGTTGTCTTCACCAACATCAACACCATCACTATGGTTGTCAAAATAATCATAATCACTACCGTAGTTACTATCAACAACATCTGTAGCATCCTAATAACATATACCATCATCCTCACTTTTATCACCATCATCAGTATCATAGTCACTATCATCAATATCCATCATAGATATCATGTTCGTTATTATTATCATCACCAACAGCAGCATCCTCATCATCACCACTGATACTTCGCATAATCCATCAATATTGTTTACTATCTTCTTGAACATCATCAACATCAACAGTATCATCATCATCATCATCCTCATCATCACCAACGTCATCATGGTCGTATTCACCATTGTAACCAGTTTAAATTATGATTCTACCCCTCTGAAACTATCAGAATTTTCGGGTCGTAGTATATCTATAACTTATTATCAGTTTTTTCTTGCTGTTGTTGTTTTGTATCTGCTTTCCACTACAAGATTACAATATAAAATTTAGATAATGAGAGAGAGTGTCATACAATTTTGTTTCAGCAATAAGCAAGAATAGATTTTCATTTATTTTTGTTTCTAACAAACTAATAATATACATATCATCATAGAATTTACATTCATTTACAAATTCATGAATTAAGTGTTAGATTAGCAAACGCTCTTCAAATAATTGCTTCAAAACTTTCGCTTTAGTATGGTCGATTTAGTTTCCTTAACACGATCACTAGTAATTTCCCTCTCCTCGAGACTATGTCAGGTAAGATTCCATTTTTTGTGTAGGTACTGGAGTACGAAGTTGCTGTCATAACCTTGAAAGATGTGGGCTATGCAAGTTACGTTTTCATTGTAAGGGGGGTTTTCTTTAAACATAATCGCAAACATCTTGGCAAGCAGATTCACCATAGAAGGTAAGCGTTTTTACACCGCAGATATCAAACTCATCGGAATCAACGTCATACATTCAACACAAGTTTCCTGAGGAACACGGTTTGTGCTCCCCCGTCTCCTGCGTACACTCGAAATAAAAAAAATATATATATTTTGTTACAGATTTCCTAAACTCTTTTTATTTATTAAATTTCTTTTCTTTGTTTTTTATTTTCTACGATCTGTTTCATAAAACATTTACGATCGTACGAAACATCTATCCTACAAACCCTATAAAAGTAACTATCGCATCTGTGCCCCTTACGAAGAATACGGTTA